TCGGACATCCTTTGAAGAGGGGATTTAACAGAAGTGTACGTGTATACAGACAGAGGAGAAAATAAAGGACACCTACTGCTGGAGCTTTTTAGCTCTGATGTTAGTTGTGGGCATTCTCTTATGATCAACTTTTGTTTAGGAAGGTGAAAGTCAAAATTCTGTGCTGTATCATCACTGCAAGGTCAAATAGGCAGTATGTCAAGAGCCAAACACAGTGAAAACTGGCAAGGAACTAGAGTTGGACTTGAACCAAAGCCACAGAAATGAGCCCTCAAGTTTCGTAGGTCAAGCCCCTTGCTTGAAATGGGAGCATTTAGTTTGTTTAACTTGCTTGTCCTTTGAGCTTGACACCTGCTCCCTGAAATCTGAAAATCCCTTTATCTGAAAGTCTTTTGATGCCTGTACAAAAAAGCAATGATAATCCAGAGTTCCCACAAACCTCTATCACTGAATAAGTATTTAATTTTTTTTGTGATGTTGGTTAAATGTATTTAATAGTGGTTCGGTCTCCTTGACTGCTTATAAAGAGATTAATTGCTACATGTGCTGTACTGTGGGCCTACCCTTTTTACCCAAAGCATCCTATGCCATGGCATGCAAATAACTTCTGGATGCCTTTGAAGACGCAGGATGTAAGCAGGTGGGGCCCTTCCACAGCAGTGAGGTGGCTATTTGAGTACTGGCACTCTGATCTCCAGCTCCTGGCTTGCAGCTGGTGGGAGAATAGCCCCTAGATGAGAAAAGCTTGCATGGCCCCAAGATCCTCTTTGGCAGCTGCCAGCTGGGTCTTGCTATGGTTTGCCAGTAAATTTGGGAGCTTAAAGAATACAAATAAAAAGCAAAAACAGTCCAGAAAGTAAACAAAATTAGGAAAAAGGAGTCACAAAACACTCATCTCCCATAGATCTTGCAAGGCATCTTGCAAAAGCACCCCCTAAGCCATGAGCCAAGAATCTCCATTGAAACAAGGTGCATAACACAGCTGAGACAGAGAAGTTATGGCATTACTGTTTTGGCAAATCTGCGTGATAGACTTTTTTGCTAACATGTTTTGTCTGTTAGTGTTGAAGAGTAAAAAAAAAAAAACCAACAAAAAATCTTAAGATGGTACCTTTGGTACCTTTCCAAAGCAAAGAAGCAGGCCCATAAGAAATGAAATGTCTGTGCAATCCGGGCCAAGAGGGTGTATCACATTTCTCCCTCCTTTTCCCATGTCTCAGCTCTACAAGGGTTTGTGGGATTTGTTTTCTTTGCTATTCAGATCTGGAGAACTATTTTTGTTTAGATTTCCCTATTGCTGTATCTTCTATGCAATTCCTTTTCTAAAGACTGACTTACTACCAGAGAAGTGCTAGCCATTGCATTATTTGTATTGCTGTACAGTGGAGGTGTGGTTTACTAGTTCTGAGTGTGCCTCTTACCCCCCTCCCTTTTTCTCCTTCCCTCTGTTTGTAAATGCCTGCATTTATTCTGTCAGCCTGACATGTACAAAGTGTAAGAAAGAATTTTTAAACAGGTAATAAATTATATTTATAAGCAACTGGAAAAAAAAATACACCACTACCTTGTGTTCAATTGTGTAGTTCCTGGAAGCTTGGAAGGAAAGAGCAACCTTTTATTTAGTTTCTTTTTAAAAAAATATCCGCTCAAAAGAAACATTTCTGCACATAAGAACTCCTTGTGATGTAGTCTCCCTCATAAGACACCATTCATGACATCCGCACGCCCGTGCAGGCTGTTTCACTGCACTTCATAAATCCTCACACCTCCCCATGGGGTTTTACCTCAGCAGACATGCAACAATTTGCCCCAGAGAGTTTTCCTGGGGTTTTCATTTCGTGACTGCAGTCAAAGGTTGAGAAAAACAGGCAAGAAAATGCATCCTCAGCTGCTGAGCTCAGTTCTCCTCCGGCATCCAGCCTTTTTGTTAGGCGGGGGTAAGCAGCCCACTAGGCTTGTTGAAAATGCCTGGGAGGCAAACTAAACATGCCTTGGGCAAGGTGATTTTGTCCCGCACAGTACCTGCCTATGTCCAATTTAGGCAGGCGGATACAATGCCCAAACACTGAAGCTCACCCTTTTTGCACTCACTCCCCATTGTCAGATTTGGTGGCTGTTTCTCACTTTGTTAGACCTGTTGTGCTCAGTATTAAATTTCTGGGGGTGCAAGAAGCAATTCCCCAGTGCAGCTGCAAACTTACATCTCCCAGTGAGGTGTGGGGTGGCAGTGGGGAAGCAGTCATCTGTCACCGCCAGCCCCTCCTCAGTGGGTCAGCTGAGGAGCTCACCCGGCCCACGAGGGAGGCAATCAGGGGCAGCATCAGCCCATCCCCCGGGGGTGCAGGGCTGCCTGCTGGCCCTCGGGCTTCTCCTGCTGTGCCACGCTGAGGAATGCTCAGCCCTTGCTGTCTCATACACCAGACCTGTCAGCCTGCCAGTGCGGCCACGCAACGTGTTCACTCAGTGGCTCTCCCTGCAAGGGGCAAGTCAAGGTTAAGTCAAAGCCAAATCACTCTGAGAGCCTACGAAGCCCAACAGCACACAGCCCAAAAGCTGAGAATGTGGCAACAAGTGCATTTACCAGGTGGGCAAGACCCTTCAGTTCAGCTGGAAATGGGCAGACCTTTAAAAATCCATTCCCTCTATACTTGGATTATAACAAGCTTTTCCCAAGGTGTAAGGTAGCTTTATTTTTAGCTTACATTGCAATTTTTAATGCAAGCTACGCAGTGGGAAGAAGACAACTGCTCAGGCTATTCTCCCTGAGGACAGGATGCCAGCTTTTTTAACACTCCTCAGTGAACTGTATCACTAACACAAGGCTCTTCTGTTTCGCTGGCTTCTCTGCTAAAACTGGGATGTGGGCAATCTCTGCCCGCCAGCTCCTGTAATTTATTTGCACTTAACAGGCAGTAATTCTTCACAGGAGGGCAGGCATGGGCAGCCCTGCAGTACCAGCTCATGAGGCTGTCCCTTGCGGCTACTGGGGATGGAGCTGGGGACTGGCAGTACTGGCAGGTTACTGAGCCAAGACATGATGCCCCGAGCCTGGATGAAATAGTGGGCATTGCTCCAGTACATTGAGCACAGCACAGAGCTTCGGCCAAACACCAATGACAGGTTTACTCCATCCAAAAGCCACTGGACCTTTAGCAACACAGAGGGAGAACTATTCTTTTTATTTACCTATTTTACAATTATCTTCTCTGTAATAGGAAGAGGTAGATTATATATGAAGAGAACTTAGAGCTCTGACGTGAAGGGAGGATCTGCATCCCAAGGGACACGAGGCATAACTTCTTCAGTGGTAACTTTGGCCGCCATGTGGTCCTGCAGCCAGAGAGAGCTGGGCTGAAGGCAGGGCTGGTTTCTGCAAAATTCAGATACTCACTTTGACCACACTGCTTTTAGATTTCCTGGTGTCTGTCTGCCTTTCCCTTTGCACACTTAGCTTTCACAGGAGACAAGCTCTTTTCTGTCCATCCCACTATCCCCATGCTGTCTACACATATTGCTAAACTCAAGTTTCCTTTGGTTTCTGACACCCCCATGGGTTGGGTGTGCCATAGCCTACAGTCTTTGCATTGGCCAAGCAGTTACTGCCTGATCTTCAGGGACTTTTACTTCAGGTACCTCACCTCTAGCGGTTCTTCCTGAGACTCCTGGAAGTGTCTGCTCTGGTGTTTCTGCATTTGAAGGTGGGACTGCAACTCTCCTTTCCAGGTAGTAAAAGGCTCAGTTTGGTGTGTTTCACAAGAAAGCAGAGCTCCAGTTTGGCAGAGGACAGTTGCATGACTCTGCCAGCTTTGAATGGAAGCGACAATCCCAACGTCACCTACAGCTGCAGAAGATACAGGTAGGTAAGCCCAGGGCTAAATAGTAGCCATGCACCTAGCAAGGCGGAGAGGAAAGAAAATGAGAACAGAGCCTAGGACTGCCCCCAAAAGCCATACCCAGGAGGTCAGGGGAAGCAGCAAGCAGATGAGAGGAACAGAGGGCAGCTGCAGTAACACCTATCTCATCAGCATGCTGGAGAAGTTGCAGCCCAGATGAGCTGTGCTGAAGCACCGAATAGCCTTTAACACTGTAAACAGCCCCAAAACTATGGGATTCAGTGACATTCCCCAGGACAACATGCAGCAAGCATGGGGCCTTCCCACCTAAACATGGCCTGGCCAAAGGACTGTGGAAATGCTGCTGGAGAATAACTGCGACACTCCACTGCTGCCCACGGGGGCAAAGCAGGATGGCTGCAGGGGCTGTGTTAGTCAGTGGTACGACACAGCTCGGGAAAAATGCTGTTTACAAACTTCTCTGAAAATAACTGTCAAGGTAATTACATGTTAAAAACCACTAAGCTGAATGCTGCATGCTGCAACACGGCACTGCAGAATGAGAAGACAGCTCAAGCCATAAATACAAATACGTATGAAATACAAATACATCTCTCTGTATGTAGATACATACGCTCCAATGTCTCTTAGCATTAAGCAACACCACAATTCAGCTGATGCAGTGTATGCAGGCTGCAACCTTTTTTTAATCCTGAAACATGGGGCTAGAAAAATCTATCTTTAGTCTGTGCACAGATTACCTCCTTTGCCTCTTGTGCTATTAAAAATAGTAGTCACAGTTCATAAATATGTGGGGGAAAGAATGGAAGGGGGAGGCCTCACAAAAACATTATGCAAATGCCAAATTTCTATAGATTTACATAATCAGCAAAAAAATGCGAGTGACTGCTCTATTAGTGATAACACTATTTTAATTACTATTTCTCTCTTCACTGAGTTGTGAAAGGGGTGATGCTTTTTTATGCCAGTGGAAACATATGCAACATCTTGCTGTTTACTTGTTTGCTCAGAGGAAAAATCTTATAATAAATAAATAAAGTGAGACATGGTCAAAATAATCTAGCCAGGGAAATGAAACCCAAAGCATTTACTTGTCAAGCACATGAAAAGTAAATAGAAGTAAAAGCAATCTCTTTTTTGCAGAGATGTTAACAATTTTATTTAGGGGAATGTTAAAAGAACCATATACAATTTGAACAAATACAACATAACAGTTTTTTCCTCAGGTTTTCTAATTACAGTATTTACACGTTTAATAAGGCACTGGTTCTCAAAAAAGAACACAAATTTGTTTCTTAGTCTTTACATTGTCAACCTTTTCTTTAATAGAAATAACTTTGTGCTAGAGAAAGGATAGCAGTTGCTAGATGGCATCTCTCTTCCTTTTTGGGTGTTTTTTTAATCCTTCTTCTTCCACTTACCTATGCCATCAAATCACTAAACTTCCTTCAGAGATTCACATGTGAAAACCGTATTTCTAGACGTGCAGGCACTGAAACCATGATTATCTCCACCACTGACTTCCAAGCTCTCATCAACATACACAGTGAAACTACCAAAATCTGGAAGTGACATTAAAAGGCCACACCTGGCAAAATAAATGTACTAACCTGTAGTCACTGTACATGCTGAAACCATAATAATTACACATTGAATGCTGCAGAAGGTCAACCATGCAGGCAGTAACTTGAATGTCAGAGTGCTAGAACAAATGACTTCCACGCTTGCCTTAGGCTGTTTTCTGGCTTTAGGAATATTCCTTGACAATAGCATTGATCACAGTGGGTAGGAGACTTTAGGGAAAAATCTGGCCTTTCAAGTTGTGGGAGAAAACAGGCAGGCACTAGTTACACAACTGCAGACCCTTTGCTTTCTCAGAGTGTATCTCCTCATATATATATATATATATATTTATTCTCCTATATAGCACCGTTGCAGTGATTTGTCATTTATGCATTTTCATAAATATATATTATGTTTTATTTAGTGCTTTATCATCCGTAATAGTTTACTTTTAATCCACATACTGGAGTAATTCCAGACTCCTGACTGAATATATATATATATATATATATATATATATATATATATACAACACATAAACTGAACATTTAACATACACACTTTATGTAACCTACCAACCAGTATCTTAGATCCCTTTCTTTTGGACTGAAAAAAGTAAGACTTGTTCAGAAACCAGTGACTGGTCAGTGACTGGCCCTTTCTCTTGCAACACACTGACAGCAGGTGCCAGGGGCATCATGTGCATTGCATCCACCAGTCAGCAAAGCACCCTCCAAAACTTCTCTTGGGAGAGCCATGATAATTAAAAAAAACCCAAACAAACAACTATTTGAGGAAATCAGATGTGAAACACACCTCAGGTGTGAAACACACCTAAACACAGCAGGGAAGAGGCATCCCTGTGACGGCTTGGAGGTGGAATTGACTGAGTCTGCCCTGACTGCTGCCAAAATCAAGGGTCCCATCCACTTTGTCAGAGCCAAGAAACCTCCGTTCCTTGGAGCTGTGCTGGTTTTTATGGTTTTCATGAAAGGGCATGAAGATGAAAGGATAGTAGAAACCCTGCGGCTCCATTCACTGAGACAAAAAGGTGAAGAGAGGCTGAGCTGTCCTCCTCATTTTGGGCCACGAATCTTCAACCCAATGCAGTCAAGGAGTGGAGTAAACTCCACTCTCTGCCAGGAAAGCAAGCTGTTTATTAAGGACAGGGAAAACAAGCATCACTCCTCTTGGGGCCAGGATTTGGTGTACTATTAAGTCTCAGAGGTTTTGTTTTTGTATTGCTCAGTAGTTTTGGGTACAGGCAGGGAAACTGCACTGTGGTAAAGCACTCTAATTAACAGAAATCCTCTGATTAAACTTTTTAACGCCTATAATCATGGAGGTCTTGCTGATTCTCTTGAACCTCTGCATTTTTCTCTGTTAGCTTGAAAGCATAAAACGGTAATTTTTCCAACTAGAAATACCTTCGGGGAGCCGTGAAGCTAAACCCCAATTATGTACCTACCTACCACAAATAAATCAGTTTTGTCCAAAAAGGGAAAAAAGAAACAGTACGGAAATGTTGAGGCTAAATCCAGCATGGCAATTATATAAGTTCTGAAATAGGCTTAGCGTAATCAAAGCAGCATTTGTAAGGACTTACTTCAAAATAAACCGAACACCATCTAGTGTGAAACAAGACACAGGCAGGCAAAAAATATTAAAAAAATAAGGGTAAAGAAGGGTAAACTGGTATCTCCCATACAGCTCAGCTTTGATAACCTGACAATGAACAGAGACCTTTCCAAAGAAAATGCTTCACAGTGAATATTTCACCTCTCATTTCCCCTTTTGTAGTATTAACATCGCAGCAACTGTTGCAGCCCCAGGAAGGAGGGATGGGGAAAGATGGTAAATACATTTCCTGTTGTTCTTCTGCCCTAAAAGCTTCTCTTGCTGGGAACCATGATGCTACGCAGCCCCAGCTTGGTGGCAGAGCCTGTCACTACTGCACAGTGTCTCCCAGAGGCATGGAGGCTGCTGGAAGGCCACTCAAAATTGTAAAGCTTGAGCCAAATTTTTCTGTTTGTGGGTGCCTCTCACTATAGTGGGAGAAGTGCTGGTGGCACTAGCCTGCTGCCAGCCATAGGGCCCAGCTTTCACCCAAGTCCCATGCTCCTTCCTCATCAGCTTCCTACTGCGACTGGGAAGCACCAGGTGTCCTTATGCTTAAAGAAAAATGACTGACATCCCAAAACCAGGAACTTCTGAGGTTTTTCCACTTTCCCTTAAAAAAGGCAACACTTTTTTTTTTTTTCCAACTGTGGTTGTAGATGGATACCTCACTTCTACACAGATCAAAGAGCATGCTAATAACTTTTTCTCACAAAGAACTTCCCTCTTACCCAGTAGTTGTGTATGTAGGTCACAGCAGTTTCAAATTCACCAGCGGATCCAAATGTGGACGTCATTTCCACTCACAAAATACTTTATTTTGCAGTGGGGGGAAAAGAAAACAAAAAAAAGAAGAAGCCAAGAAAAGGGGCACTTGTTTATCATCCTGGCACCATACCCATCAGATTTCCTGGAAACACGAAGAGCTTCTTCACACAAATCACACTGAACCATATTCATATGGCTCCCAATTATGGTAAGCATGACCTCCCTTGGGACAGGCCATCCATGGGAACCTGGCCGCCTCTGCTAACGATGGCAGGGATGTAACTGGGCTCCATCTCACACGTGCAGAGCCATGGAAAGTCATCTCCACAGGCAGGCAGCTTTTAAGATGGTTTCCATTACAGCTCCTCTGAGCTGCACAGACCCACTTGCCTTGTTTTTTTTTTTAAATGCTGGAGTGCAACAGTCTCTTTATTAATGAAAAAGTCAATTTGCTTTCATTTTCAGCACAGTTTCCTCCAATTTTTTAAATGTAACAATATACATCTTTTTTACTTCTAACCAAAAGTTTTATTCTCATAAAATTTAAAGCCGTATCTTTCTAAACAATCAAAATAATAATAATAACAATAATAATAATAAAATAGTAAGTGGCTTTCATGGAAAGCAACATGCATAATCTTAAACCAGTTACTTAAACTGTATTTCCCCGTGTAAACAAGGGCAGACAAGCCTCTTTCAATCTCGTATGTCAAAATTCAGCTGATTTTTGCAAAGGATAGTCTCCTCAAAAGCTGTCAAACAAACTTACAGTTGCTCTTAAGCGTGACTGCATTCAAAGTACTTATTAGTGAAGACTTTTGATACCTCCTCAGGAATGCCTGCACAAGAAAGTCTGTTTCCATGGGCACCACGAGAGCTGTCCCTGGTCAAGTCAGAGTTTAATGTCCTGCGACTCTGACATTTTGGCAAGTGTTTTCTTGACCCGCAGGGCTGTGAGTCGGGAGGCGGGGTTGTGAGCCCAGCACTCCATCATCAGCTTCCCCATCTGCCGTAGGCACTGCAGAAAGAAATGGGAGAGAAAGTCCCACCTGGGTCAGTGGAAGAGGAGACTTCAGTTGGTGGCAATGCCAAAAAAACGAAGGGAAAAGGTCTTTTCTAAGGGCAGCCAAAATAAAGACAACATGCTGGCTAATATAATTTTTCAAGAGCTTTTGTTTTCTGTATATTAAGGAGAGTTCTCCAAACATGGCAGTTAGTCTTATAATTTATGACAAGTTTTAGTCTACACTTGGCTGTACACTCTGCAAAAGCACTCTTATTTCCCCTTCCTCAAACCCGCGCCGCCTGACCCACACAAGTGTGGCTCTGTACAGCGAGCCCTCTGCTGTACAAATTCAGTAGAATTCATTCTCTTCAGCCAGTGACCAGCCCCTGTGGTACAGCCCTGCCTGAGCACGCACCCACGGCTCCTGCCCAGCTGCCTGCGAGCACCTGTCTTGGCTCTGCCCTGTCTTGCTCCATCCTCTGCTTGCTTCTGAAACCGCCAGACCCTCCTCCAGCTGCCAGCAACAACTCTCTTGCTGACAACATCTCAGTGTTGCCTTTGCCATCCTGGAAAAGGAGCATACATCCCCACTCTGCGTGTATCAACTTCTTCCAAACATAAAGCATCACAGAAGTCCTCACAGCCGGGTGATGACCCCATCAGTGTATATGGATTTACACTGCCTGAAGATTTACTTGCTACAATAGTGAAAGAAGTTCTCCATCTCATCCAACTTGCTGTCTGTTTTCATGAGGCTCCTGGGCCAGAAGTAGTGCAGACCCTGAAAGGCATTTAGCATAAACCCCACCAGGAGTGCCCAGACCAGGAGAATACATTTCAGATTAATGAGGATTTTTATAAATGCTTTTTGGTGCTACACAAAGTTTTATGCACTAACAAATTTGCCTCTCATCGCTATATTGCCTGAAATGGGATTACTGATGATGCTAACCAATTAATCACGAACAGTTATTTCACAGAATCACAAGATCATCCAGTCCAACCATTATCCTAACACTGACAGTTCCCAACTACACCATATCCTTCAGCTATGTCAACCTGACTCTTAAACATCTCCAGGGATGGGGACTCCACCACCTCCCTGGGCAGCCCATTCCAACACCTAACAACCCCTTCTGTAAAGAAATACTTCCTACTATCTAGTCTAAACCTTCCCTGATGCAACTTGAGGCCATTCCCTCTTGTCCTATTGCTTGTTACTTGGTTCGAGAGCTTGGTTCCCCAGCTCTCTGCAACCTCCTTTCAGGGAGTTGTAGAGGTCATTTCAATGAGCCTCCTTGATATGTGTGGTAGCAGAACAAATGCACACGGTATGCCACCACACAAAAGCCCTTCCTAGGATCAATACTAACAGCACTTCCTCCAATGTTTCCACTTCCAGTCTGAAGGCTCAGAGGGATTTGGGTAGGGAGAGGATGAGGCAGATGAGTCTTGGTTAGATCTTCCCACACTGGCTGTTGCACAAGCCCTAGAGCCTCACCTAACCTAGGGAGGTTGTTTTATTTTTCCCACACATTCCCAAACTGCCTACATGTCATGCCACCTAAATCTTTCATCTACCCACAAAATATTCATCTACACACTGCTATTCCCAAATGGCAGATGTCTTCAGTGACTGTATAAAACTTTATAGCATTAAACTGTGACAATTAACATGATTAATGACCCTCCTCCAGAGCAGTCAGAAGGTTTGCCTGCAGTACCTCAACTGTTTGTCTCCAATCCCACGAGCATAACTTTTCTTCTTACAGATGCTCAGCAGGGAGAGTTCTGATTATCCCTCAGCCCTCTCACCTCCTCCTTTTATTCTATAAAGCATTTTCTGGATCCAATATCTCCTCTGAAAAGCCACATTTGTAGCCCTCTGCTAAAATGTGAAAAGGTACATGAGCACTGTTTTCTGTAAGATGTAAAGATGATTGGTGCTCCTTCGTGCAGCCAAGCTACTGTGGTCACTACTACTGCACATCAATACCGTAAGATCTTGTGAAACTTAGTATGTTGTGCTCATGTTAGCATAAAATCACAGTAAAATTGTGTTTCCAAGTCTGCACACCTGTGATCACAGAAAAGCTGTATGCTCATTTCATTTGACATTTCCCTCTTAAAAAAAAAAAAAAAAAAAAAGAAAAAAAAAAAAAAAAAAAAGGAAAAAGGTTGGAATTACAGCCCACACATCAGTACATGCTGAAGTAGCTGCCAATACACCAACTACACTGCCACTGCACTATACATTACAAAATAATTTCTCTTTCAAAATTTTTGGCTAGCTACTGATTTAATGCTCTTAATGCCTGGAACACAAAGCATAATGAGTGCAAGAGGAAAACAGAGAGACTAGGAAGGTCTGAGCACAGCCTGCTATCACTGTGGGATCTGGTAGGCAGCACATGAGGAACCTGCTTGCACATATTGTAGGCTATGGCCCCTGGGGCTCTGAAACCTTCAGCAGGGGTATCTGGGAAGGTCACACTCCTTCCTGAACCCTGTTGCACCATGACTGGTGCTAGCACCAGTGGTAGCTCCTTCTCACTCAACATGACAATTCAACCTCACTCACGCGCTCTGATCAAAAGCACAGGCTGCATTTTAAGAGGGACGATACCTCATCACTGCTCCATCTGTTGGGAAATGAAGGGCGTAGTCTCTTGATGCACACAATCTCCCGCATGTCCTCATATGAGGGGTCACTGGGCACAAGGTCGTGGTACGGAAGCTGGTATTCCTCAACTATTCCTGAAAGAAGCAATTAGTTCCCCATCACTTGCAGAAGACACCTTCCACTACCCTCTTCCCCTCTCATTTTATAACTTATTGACCATAGTGTTTAACACTTAGATGTACTTCTCCTTAAAAGGACTTCCCTGCCCTAGAAGTTTATTCCACAGTCAACTTCCAGTGTAACCACTGCTGTGTAAAGGCTGGCCAGATATCTTAATCTGAAAGTGTAGTTACTTGTCAGGTGAGACAGTTTTTATTCACTGCTGTCCAGTCCAGCAATCTCCAGTAAATTATCATAGACAGAACTATTAGCATAGGGATCATATCAAGAGAAATTTGGCAGAGAATTAACCTTGAATTAGGTCTCCTCCTTACCAGTGGACCTGGTATATATTAAAGGGTATTTCTGTGCCGTTTCAGAACATGGCAAGGTACCATTCTTTGTGCGCAGCAACAATGAAAACAATATTATAAACTTTACATTGCATCGCTGCAATAAACTTTACCAGTTTGTAAACAAAGGAATCACATTGCTCGTCAGTGAAATTCAACTCCTCTAGGGTAAGCATGGAGCAAGCATTCAGCACAATACTCCAGGCTTTAAAGACCCATAAAGTCTGGTGAATGTAGTGTAGACCCAAGAGAGACATGCTCTACTCTTACTTGCCACCAATCTGGCATGTAGCCTCTGCCAAGTCATTTCTATGCATTTAAGTTTCCTCAGTGGCAAAATAGAGGTAATAACACCCATCATTTCTGCCCTACACTGAGCTCTACATGCAAAAATCACAGGTAGCCTATGTGTACAAGGATGAGTCTATGCCCTGAGTCTGCAGCTGGCTGCATTGCTTTATCTTTGCTGTCCTCACACTTGAATGCATGATATCAGAAGGAAATGAAGCACATCACTTGTATGACAATGATGTAATAAGTGTCACTTTGTTCTGTTTTTTTTTCCTACCTGTCTTGTAAACAAATTATTTATTTTAAATAGTGGCACAGCATACCCCCAAACTGTTGTCCTCTTTCTATTTAACTCTAAAACTCAAAGAAATTACTATTTTCTTTCTGCTAAAATAGCTGAATACCCCTAGTCCCGCAGAAATGTGTCACCATTGGAAAAGGCCCCCAAATGAGTTCCATATTCCTTGTTCAGTGCAGGCATCCACTGCCTTCAAATGAGCCATTAAAATACAGTCTAAATATCTGCCGTTGAAATAGCACTGACTGACGCTTTAAAGTAAGTTTCAACAAGACAGTTACTTGTATGGTTTATCCACAATTTTTTATTACATTAAAAACAATTAACCAGGGAAAAGTATGTAATGTAAGATTTCGGTTATAAATGGGGTTCACTGACACAATTAAAAGTGATCTCCCAGCTCTTTACCTCCTGAAACGCATCTCCTTGCTATCTCCCACAGGATGAGTCCAAAACTGTACATATCAGCCATGATGTACGACTGGAAGTGATTTCTATTCAAGCTTTCATCCAACACCTCAGGAGGCATATAGCGTTTTGTTCCTACACGGGTATTTGGAGGTATGTCTACCTCATTTGTGTCACTAAAAGAAAAACAAGGGGGAAAAAAAGGCATCAAGCATACAATAAAGTGACTTGATAATAAAGCAATTTAGATGGGAGAAGTAGTAAATTCACACCACATCCACTCTCAAACAAGGTTAAAAGTAACGCATAATCTTAATGGAACAATTCTTACAAGAAAAGCCTCTTGGTCTGAAGGCAAGCCTCCTTAAAAGGCTGACCCGCCTGAAGCTATGTTAAACATTCAAATGCAGAATCACAATGGAGATAGTACTCAACAGGGATGCTGTAACATTTTTGAGATTTCATTAGCATTATCCTGAGCTCTAATGCTGATGATAACAATCAAATCTTCATTAAATGCTGTTTTCTTAACATACTCCACCACCTAATGCTTTAGTCTTAGCAATTAAGGGAGGACACTAAATAGCTGGGGCAGTATCACTTAGCAGTTGCAAAACAGATCTGCAAGGGACACGAATCTAACTATTTTTTGTGCATGCGTTATGTTTGACCTTTCCCAACCTTTACACATCAAGACGTGCAAACACACAGACATAAATGTGTAAAAAAAATCTAACCAAATGTGTCGCACCACACACATTGATCAGAAAAGACATCTAACAGGAAGCAAATTCCCATTAATTATGTGACTGGATTTATTTATTTATTTTTTAATTCAGCTGGATCAGTGTTAATGTTTTTGAAAGTTTAATATATGGCATATATTGTGATTTGCTCAGAAAGGTCTATTTCCCCTTCCTCACCCTCAAAATGTAAACATTTTAAATGTGATAGATACAAGAAAATCTCACAGAATTAATTATTAAATTAATTATAAAACCTCTTCTGTAACTTTCTTCACCTACAGTTATGAAAATGACAAAAAAAAAAAACAAACCTGAGGTACAGCCAGCCACCTACACAGCCATTAAATCATACACGTATTGGTGGCATTTCTGTATACCTCCAAGAATGTAACATAAATCTAGTGACCTGCACCATCTTGCAGTATTTCAAATAAAATGAGAAATGCAGATAACTTACTAAATTCATTAGCTACAGCAGACCACACCCCTTTCAACTATTTTTTTCTGTTTCTGGTCATTGCCTGAGAAATGCTGTCTAAGGAAAGATTCAGTACGAAAAACAAGCCAAGTATGTAATGTAAATTCCATTTGGACTGTGACAAAAACGTATTTCACTTTCTTTTACAGCAACACTTGGTAGTTCTTAGTTCTTCTCAGTTCATACCTAAGCAGTGTGTTGCTCTGTACTTGTCAGGCAAGGTACGCCTGCAAAGGGTGAATTTCTTCCCTTAAACTTTTACAGCAAATAGTATATTTCCAAGTTGTTGTTTTCTAGGCCCCTATTCCTCAAAGTAAAAGTATTTCTTTTTCATCTCCTACAGAAAGGTCAGGTTTGTAAAGGAAAAGCCTCACCAAGAAACCTGGTAGAAGAGTGACTGGTGAGAAGAGCACATAAAAACTGCCTTTCCTTACACTCTGAATAATTTCAGATCAAGATTTGTACAGAATTCTTAAAATTCTTTCTGATACTTCAGGGAGTGCAAGGTTTCAAAGCTGACCTCTGAAACTGAAACCTTCAGCCTATGGCCACATTTCCGTGCACAAAAAAATTAGAGACTTCAACACACACATCTCCACGGACAGGACCACCGCCAAGAGCTCGAGCTCCTTTTGAACGCAGCTGTCAGGCAGCAACGACTCCTTTACAAATCCCAGGAGCGAGTAAGTCCTACTTGTCTGCTCCAAGTTGTTTAAACACACAACCATTTTTTTAAAATCAAATTTAAAAGCCATTTCAAAAATCAAATCTGTACTTTGGCAATTTGATTTGTAGGAAATGAAACAAAAGGCAGTCCTAATGGTGTGCTTTTCAATAAATCCCAATTAGTAACTTGTGAAAATGATTAGTATTATTCTGTATAAGTTGTGAATGAATTATGTTGGGATCAGGCAAGCTGAAAGCTTCAGTGACAAGTTCATGGACATGACTTAAACCTGTCAGTGCTACATCCTTTTAATATGTGATAGCAATACTCAAGGTTGCTATTGAGGGCAAAGTGATGAAAACTGAACCTTTATGCAAATGCAACTAATGTGTCTGATAATTAAAAAGCGACTATTTCTACACCTGCATTATATGTTTATGAGACATTCTCACCCACACAGATAGCCCCATTTCGTATAGGAAGAAAGGTATGCACATACACTGCAGATGCTTACTCACACGTGGCACACTCACTCAGTCCACAACTAAATCAGCGTTTGCCAACTCTCCCTCACCCTCCTCGCTTCTACTCACCTGATAAATTTAACAGCCAAGCCTAAATCTGCTATACAGCAGGTGCCGTTCTTTTTCACCAGGATATTCTTACTTTTTAGGTCACGGTGGGCAATAGCGGGTTTGCCCTGAGTACTGAAGATCTCAGTGTGCAGGTGGCACAAGCCACTAACGGAGGAGTAAGCCAGTTTTAGCATGGCTTTTGTGTCCAAGGTAGTAGATTTTAGATAATCATAAAGTGAACCATTCTCATGGTAGTCGGTGATGAGATACAGCTGGGTCCAAGACCCTGTACCTTTAATGTCTGCAGCAATGAACCCTGTAAAAACCAGATTATTTTCAAATTAATACTTGTCAGGGCTTTTTTTTGACTGCTCAGAACTCTGGACTGTCATCCACTTCAACAGTTTTATTTTAATAACATTTAATTTCTTTCATCTAACTTCTATGCAACTATGTCCAACCTCTAGCCTTTAACATCTTTTCAGAAAGCCCAGATATGGAAATACATATGGCAGAAACAGATAGGTGATGTTTGGAGTAACAGCCCCCAAAGCCCATTATTTTTAACTTTTATTTACGTTGCATTAATCCTTAAATGTCTTTCTTTTGAAAAGGGCTGGATGGCTAATTGCAGAGCACAGCAGGTAACAGCACATAGGAAAGGGCATCAGACAACAGCAAACACAAAATTATTAAACTTAAGAAACCGGTACACCATCAAACAATTCTCTTTCTTTTCACTCACCAAGAATATTTTCATGCCTCATCAGGACAGTCTGGTAGATTTCTGTTTCTCTGAACCAGCTGGCCTCCTCCGTGGTAAAAAACACTTTGACGGCTACCTTTTCACCGCGCCACTTTCCCATCCAGACTTCTCCATACCGACCTTTTCCGATCTGCTTTACCATCTGAATTTGTTTTGCAATGGTCCTTTGAACCTGTAAAATGCCAAGATGGGTGGATACAACTTCCTCTGCAAAAACCTTCTACATTAACCTCCCTCCTTCTGTGCCTCCTTCCCATGCAGCAAGCCCAAGGGAAAAGGGAACACGCAGTCATTGTGATGTGGATTTCAGCAAAGCTCCACAATGTGGATGCTCCCCATTTCCCCAGGACACAGTGCCAGTGAGGCCATTCCTGCCACCGTGAAGAAGCCTTTCCATACATTCACAAAATGCACCGTGGCCTCTTGCAAAAGTAAATCAGTCTGTGTGAAGGAAACATTTTAACTACTGACCTTGAAATTTTGATTTTCCTGTGGGAGGTCATCACTTTGTGATTTATTTTTTTTTTTGGTTATTTTTAGAAAAGCTTTTTCAGAAAACAGTCCTGGTCACCCCAACCCAAATCAAATTCCAAAGGGCAAGGTAACACATTTTTAATTAAAACAGGGATGTTTGTTATATACTCAACACTATTGAGACTCAGGGCTACAGTTCACAAGAGCCAAAAACATATCAGTGCTCCAAAACTAGCAAAATTACTGAGAGCAGCTTCCTATCATCTTCCTTGAAAATCCCATGACTAATAATTTCAAAATACAAATTTGGTGTTAAGAACTTCAACCACTACTTACACAGCTAGAACCCAAGTGCCTACATTAATAATTATCATTACATAGTAATAAGAATTAACAATATTTTTTTTCCAAAGATATGGCAGTACAGATTTAAATTTGCCCTTTCTAGTGTCCATACCAGCTTTGTCAGTGGCTGTACTGTGAACTGATGCTGCAGTTAAACCCTTTGTGCAGCTGTAGCATCAGATCAAGGTACTTGACAGCATTGCAGAGACCCTTCCTAAGGATGGCAGACACCATGTAGCAGAGGGACTGATTCTATATTTAACAAGCTTTTATAACTAAAAAATATCTTGGACAAATGGAGACTAATATATTCTTATCAGACTGGAGCATGTCTACAGATCACATATTTCTAAAAGTTCAAAAATAAAAACTGAAGTAGATACTGCAACACAACATGGTTGACTCACACTCACGCTAGTATAACGAAAGATTAAAAAGTCACCCTCTTGTGCTTCAATGTTGCCAGTTCAATCCACAGATAATAATTTTTGGTTTGGTAGGATTTTACAAGATTTTGAGAGAAAATAACTTTATAGTCTCCAATGCAACAATTCCACTGCAGCATGAATGTATGTCCAAAGATGAACTCAAAACCCATTAGGTAAGGTCCACCATCATTTTGTACATAAATTACTGGTTTCATATTAGGCAATTTAAAGAAGAAAAACATACAGTGACATTTATGCAAAGCTATTTCAAAAGTCCCAGCTTTCTGCTTCTGACATTTAAACAGAATTCCATTTTTTCCAGCCCTGCAATGTATTATTAGGCTTCTAAGATGGTGGCTTCAGTACCATTATTTTTCATTAACATCAGTGAATGCCAAGAACAGAGATTAGCCTTAATTCTTAAAATTTATTTATTCTCTTTTCTGTTCTCATATAGTGATTGAACAATAGTTATATTACATTGGAATTTTGCTGTAACATTTTGTAATGTCATTTTAGCATTGTTGCTTTCTATTTTGCCCATTTTAAAAATGCATCCTGAACAATAATGCAGTTATATCAAATAACTTAATTTGTGCAAATATATGTAATGGCATCATAAAGTACATGGAATTATTGTACTTAATCATGAAAAGTTCCTTATTAAATTACATTAAGAAAATGAAAAACACATTTCTGTTATGTGTTTTCAGGTGGCAGAATACTATGTGAAGGGTCCTAACCTGGTTTCCTCTTGCTAGAACCGGTCAAACGATTTCCTATGAACAATTTGTTTTATTTTAAGGAATTTAGCCCTTTTCTGGATCATAAACTGATTATGATTTCTAAAACAAATCGGTTAATCAAAATTGTTGGATGAACTGATTTCATAAGCATGCTGAATGATGTGCTCATGTGAATTATTTATACTAAGTGGGGTTGGGGTTTTTTATTTATTTTCAAGACCGTATATTTTGCTACTTGAGCTCTGTGAGCAGGTTACTTTGCTTCCTCTCCCTGACTGGAATCAATTCCAATTACCAACTATTTCTACTTTCTGCTTTCTATTTTTCTGATGTTCAGCTAAATGTGTTCAACTACTGCAGATGAAAATTCAGACAAGCCAACCTTTTGTACCTTGAATGTTTTGAACACAGAACTTCATACTTACGGCTGGGATGTAGTCCCATAAAGAGCAAAATTAATTGGAAGAGGAATTAGGATTAAAATAGTGAAAAGGTAGAGAACAAACTGTAATTCAGCAAACTCTTCATACAGACCACTGAAATGAATGTCCTCAGCGTCTAATCTCCTTCCCTGATTTTGCACATGGATTCATGGGGGAAATAGCTTTGCCTTCACTTCTTGCTCTGTCAAGGACAATGGGGTTCTCCTTGCTTGCTGTGCACCTCAGTTTGTTGGCTTAAACCCCTTATTTACAACTTGCTGTATTTTTTCTTGGTTTAAAATTTGATTGGCAGCATTTGATCTGCAACAAGCTTTTTCCGTCAGAGGTACAAACAGGTCAGGAGAAAGAACACTTGCTGAACATCAAAGTATTGATAAAATCTTGGTTAATGTCTGGTTTTGGTATACTATTTGTACCCATGAGAATAAATGTTCTGCACAGAAGGAAAACATTACTGTTTAGCATGAAGTGACATTTTGTAATAAATTTGCAGCTTACTTTCCTGAAATAATAACTTCGGGTGTTTCAGTCTTTGCATAAGAAATAATACAGTTAAAAACAAACTCTTCCACAATAAAGTCTAGAATATTATTGCCAGGCACTTTCAATACACTTGTTTCAAGCATGGGCCCAGAGGTATTAATCTGTGTATTTCTAGTGAGCCTGTAGTGGTTGTAGCTGTCTGGGAAATGCAGCAAACATCTATTACCAAGTGCAAGATTCATTATAGCTCTCATTTTTCTTCTCTTCCAAAGAAAATCACTACTTAAAGGGAAAGTCTGGGAAACTAATGTATGCATTTTTGTAGGCAGAGAGGGGAAAAGAGTGTCTTCAGGAGGAACATGTAGTCCAGTGGCTGCAAATTCTCCAGGCTCAAGAGGGGAGAGAGGAGGACTGGCAGAAGACAGATCAGTTTCTGCTTCACAGAGCACCATCACAGCTCTGAGAGCCACTGAGCAATGATCCAGTTGGGATGCCACCTCGGCCATTACAACAGTTAATTATCAGAAGTTAATTTTTCTGTCCACCACAACAGTAGACCTGGGGACGCCAGTAAGACCATAGATCCCATCTTCAACCAGCTCACTGGGACAGAGGAAGGCATAAAGCACAAGTCACAGCCAGTGCTGCTGCAGTTTTTTTGTCTCAAGGGCATCTGGGATGAAGTACCAAGCCATGCACTGTTATGATATGCCCCAGGGCATCTGCTACACACATGGGCTGCGGGAAACACATCTTCTCAGAGAAGTTCCTTATTCCTTGTGTCTGATCTAAATTATTATATTATTTCTGAAACTGTAATGGGTAGGAGCACCCAAGTGCAGACCAAGACCTTGATGTGGCAGGTGTTATGCAAAAGGGCAAAGCAAAAAAAGCAAAAACTCACAATTCAATCAACTGGAAGCACTCACCTCACTAGGAATGGTCCTAAATTGTAAGCATGATTGCTCCCTTTCCATGGCTGCTAGAGGGGCACTGGTATGGGATATGACAGAGATTTCTTAAAGCCTAGACCTATATGATGGAGCTTCTCTCAAAAGAGAAAAAATACTATGGGATTTTCATGCTCAGCACCAGTCACAGCACCTGCTTGGCAGTTTGGCTTTTTTTCTCAATAGCTATGTTAATTGTCAGAAAATTGAATTTTTTAAAAAAGTCAGTACTTTATTTAAATGTGACTCTAAACACTCCTCTCAGAACAAATTGCATTTAGTCAGATTGTCGCTTACCACTCAGCCTGTTGCTTCATTTTAAGGAATTATAAAACTTCCCATTGTATTTTTTCTTTAAGGTGTAGAAAAAAGATGTGTGGATAAAACCCAGATAGATAGTACATAGTACTTGGAAACTGGACAACATCTACAGTAATAGGATCACTACAAACTAAGAGGCCTGGGAGACAGGAGGGACATATCATCTCTGAAAAATTAAAATTAAATTTAATTCATTTTCTCAGAGGCAGTACTTTATATAACTAACCTAGCTTTGCTTTTTTTTTTTTTTTTTTTTTTTTTTTTTTTTTTTTTTTTTTTTTTTTTTTTCAGTGCTAAAAAGCAATGATGATCCCCAGAAACAAAATCCCCTGGTGAGCAGAACTGTTTTGCCACAGAAGGTAAAATTTCTGCCTTATCAGCAGGTGAGCTCTGGGGGCTCAGTCATCCTGGACTCAGTTCAGAAATAATCAGAACCTCTGTCCCTGTGCCTTTAACCTTTGAGATTGCCACGCTACAAAGGAAAATAATTCGCACTTGACTTCTGAATGCAAAGTGAAGTCTACACATGAAAAGGTACTAGGTTTGATAAATTACAGTTCCCTTTACATACAGATGATGTGTCAGTGTTTGAAATGCTAACGTGTGTTGCACATAAAAAGCAAGAAAATAAAATCAACAGGCCAGATGCTCTCCTGTACACTGGGGTAAATCCCGATGAATTTCTGTGAGCTCTATTAGCCTGTGCTTACCCTATGGTATCTAAAAGAAGAAATGAGCTGAGGTAAAAAAACAGCTTTTGTCTTAGTCTACAAGAAAAGAAAGTCTCCTGCTTCTAAAGCAGCTGTTCTCCAGCTTAACTCCTTGTCAGTTCTGAGAGAGAAAAAAAAAATCTAAAAGAACAACTGAGGACGCATAAATACAATTTCTTGCGCCTCATTCTTCTCCCCCTACTCATTTTTGCCTTTAAAACTTGCATTAAAATAATATTGCTTCCTTACCAGGAGAGGGAGCCCGGAGCCACTCCCTGAGCTCTGGGACTGCTCGATCAAATCCTTCAGGGACTCTCCAGGGGGAATGTAGGTCTCATCCTGCTCCAGCCCGATGCTGTAGCGAGGCCTCGTCTCTTGGCGTTTGTATCTGCCGTTTTACATGAAAGTGAAATTAGCTTTGAATACCATGAACACGTGCACAATGAATAATGCACATCGTCCTCCTCATTTGCTTCATTTATAGACACAGCGTCCTCTGCTTCCCTGAGGAATATGCTGGACTCACTGCCCCAAATTTTCTATTTTGGTTTTAGCAACTGTCTTCAGCTTCAAAAGTCTAAGTATAAAACTCAAAACCTCATAAAACACCGTGCAATCTGGTGTAACCTTACAAAGCAACCAAGTGTTTTTCTTTCAGAAACTTAAATATGTTCAAAATACAGACCAAGTAAATAATTTTATTTTACTAACTGCCATAGGTCTTTTAGGAGCCAGAGGAAGTAAGGTCATGGGATCTGGAACTATTTAAAAAACGTAACAAATTATTTAAACATAATATATGTAGATTATGATAACTTTCTAGACATACTTACATTCCTGTATCCCTCAATTTTTTAGGATCAGTTCTTCACCACATAAACACATTTAGAAGACTTAGGTTTATTTACTCTATATAAAATTTGTCCTGTGGCTTTCTTAGACTCAGTAAAGAATAATCTGTGCTTCTACCTGAATGGTTTTTTTAGGATGTTGAGCAAAAGATGCTATATGAAATATATCACACAGGTATACCTGTAACTAGCATGAATAAAACACACTTTTTTCCTCATCATAAAATCACGGTTTCTCTCTTTTTTTTTTTTTTTTTTTAAGGTCCATTTCAATTTTTAAAAATTCTTAAGTCTATAATAGCATTGGGAGGAACATTAACAAGCTGGTAAAGTATTCCTTATTTACCTGAAGTAGCAGAATATGATAATAAGCACCAGAAGTATACTGCAAACAGTGACCGAGATCAGCAGGGCCTTATGGTGAATGTTTCCTTCAGCAAAGTCTGCGGTTAAAAACAAAGAAGGTGGAAAATTTGGAAAGGGAGGTGGTACAAAGTCAGTATCAAAAGACACACACACACACTTTAAAAAGTGCAGCGAGCACAAGTTCATTTTCTTTCTTTTTTACTGAAGTCCTCTGCAAGGTACTCCTGGATTCCCCAGGCATTTTGTGCACCTCCTCTTTGGCCCTCACTGACCAGGGCAGCACCAGCACCTCCAAAAGCCTGTTTGAGTTTTCAGCCCTCACTCAGGCAAAATATCACCTTGATTTGCAATTTGGCTCAGAATGAAAAATCAATTAAGACCCGTTGCTCTGTGTCTTAACCTAAGCCATCAGCCAGAGCATACAAAAATTACTGCCTCTACCTTGAATCACTCTTATTAAGTAGCATCTTATCTAGCAGTCAATATTAAAAAAAGAGAATAATCGCATTTGTCCTAGGAGGGAAGACAGAGTGAACCATCCAACCCCCAAGAAGGCAGGCCACTAGAGGCCTTGAAGTTTTATTTCCATCACAGCAGAATTATCTGCCTCTTGGATCCTGTTTTAAACATCTGAGCAGGAAATTTTCCCCTCCATTCCCTCTATAGCAGCCCTGTGTGCCAGCAAGTCCTTCCTATGCTGGTGGGCAATACTGTACTTTCAGCAGCTATTCTGTAAAACACTTTGCAAATGAAACGTGTCAAATAACTTGTAGAAAATGCCGTTACATAAAAACTAGTAAAATGTTTCAGTCAATCTTTGCATAGGAGACCCGTATTTTCCTTTAAAGCGTACCATTAATCTTCAAATGTGTATTCTCAACTCAGGCAAGTGAATCTGACCTTCATGCACGCTCCTCTGCTGAAAAACAAAGAAACCAAGCACTGTTCTTCTTTAACCTCTCCTACCCCCCAAAGTCTCAAAATTATGGTATTGAGCATGCAGACACACACACTCCCTCTCAAAGTTACTATCTGGTATAATGCAAATGAGGACTACGTTGTCTGAAGCTCTCCCAGCCTTTCTGTCTTGCATCTTTCATGCTAATGCCCAACACATCGCAAAATGCAAGAAATCTATCTGTATCGACTCATCCTGGAACAGTGCTATTACGTTTCAGATTTACAAGGGTAATGAGACAAGGAGATTCCTAAGGGGCTCTTGGTTTACTGTCAGGCTCTTTTATTTTAAAGATCCAGTTTCTCCAACTGTTTTTGTCCCCAAACTATTTCTTTCCTTCCCTTTTCCACTACAAACAGAGATTACCAACCAACGCACCTTTTGATCACACTGGTCATGTTTTAACCTGCCATTACCTGCTCCGGGAGCATTAACAATGTAAACATTCACGACACGGCTGATGCCTTTGAAAGGGGACACTGACACGATGTCTATCAGGAAAACACTGGAGCCTATCATTCTCCCTGCCACAGCAGATTTCTACCTGGCCTGCCACTCCAAGAGGGCTGCGAGCTGAAACCGAGAACCCACTGGGGAATCCAGACCTCTCTCACGAAGGCGATGGCTGCTCTGTAGGGCTAAAGGCTCTAGTTCATGCTTTGTAAACAGCCTGTGTTGGCCAGACATTTCCCTCTAAAACGTGTGGTTTGTAACAATTTAAGATGTTGCAGCCCATCAGCTGAGAAGAGGATAAACAGAACACACAGACTACATAAGTGGGATTTTTATACATTGGAGAAACATGGATATCCATCTGCAGCAAGGGTTTTCCCACTTCACAGAATAAACTGCAATGGAAGTTGGTCTTTTGTGATTAGCAGTAATGAATGTTGATGCCAGACACAGAGGGAACAATTCAGACCTTGCTCAAACTTGTGTCAGAAACCAAAGCCACACAAGTCTGTGCATTTACACAGACACCAAGTGTTGCACTACCAGAACTTGTAAAGCACCCACTGTTCATGCTGCCTGTGTGTGTCTGAGTACATTCATTTGGGAGAGGGATAAAAAGATGCTGAAATCTTAATCAATTTTTGATCATTTTATATAGTCCAAGCCCTGTGCTTAATTTTTCTAATGGGCTTCTCCCACTCAGAAAAGTAAATAAATGCCGTTTGACTTTCCTAGAAGCCAGAGGCATTTCGGAAGTGCCATGTATCTCTCAAACTTCAGACCCCAACATTGCAAGATTTTTTAGTACCTGAATGCAATTATGTGAAGAAAGTGCAAGGAAAACATGCAAGACAAAGGAATGTGCCTTGATCGTGCTGGGAGCAGCTGATGCAGACTGCAGCAGCAGCGATGCTTACACTCTTGAACTAGGTGATGTCCCCTATGCTGGCAGTGTCAGCTAACATAGCTTTAGCAGTGGTTCACTATGCACAGCACGGGCATGCAACTGTCTCTCACAGCAGAGGAGAATAACTTCCATATGTCTTTATATTTATTTGGCTAGGTATGACGAGAAGCAATACCGACAGTAAGTGAGCTATTGTCTCACCTTTCAAATACTTCCTGCATTGTCAAAGCATTTTGGCAGAATTCATTTGCTTGCTCACTTGAGGACTTCATAAACCTGCTGGCATGTGGACAATGCAAGATTAAAAGCATGCCCTCATTCTTACACCAGCAATGTCTGTTCTGCTGAACTGAGCCAGGCTGGTGGTGTTGGAGACCCAACTCTTTTCTCCTCCTACAGCCCATGCTGTTCCCCACAGAGCAGCAAGACAAACCTCCCTTTCCCTGAACCATTTCTGGCACCTCCTTGACCAGGTGGAGGGATGGGACAGTTCAGCTATGAGCCCACTTAATCACTGGTTCGTGGGCTCTGTGTTTTGACATAGCGCTGAGGGATATGGTGTAGTTGGGAACTGTCAGTGTTAGGTTAATGGTTGGACTGGATGGTCTTCAAGATCTTTTCCAACATTGATGATTCTGTGATTCTGAGGTTCTGAGTTAAAGACTGTGGTGGGTACCAGTCGGTGCCAGTTTGCATGATGGAGATACACTGCCCTTTAAGAAGGCTGGTGTTGTGTTTTTTAGTGTTACGTTACTTGGCAACTACAACATGCCAAGCAGCGGGGTTATGAGAATAAGCAGTAGCTTCCACGGAGGCAGCAGTAAGTGATTACCAGGAGCACAGTGGAGGGAGTGCAGAACAAACATGTGGTAGGTTTGGGAAGCTTTTTCACATACCTCAGCTGGCTGATAATAGCGAAGCCCAGCAAACAGCATGTTAACAGTTTTATATTGCACAAAACCAGTGGTGCTTGCTGGTGTCAGTGGTGAGCAGCACAGAAAGGGAGAGATAGCAACAAAAGGAGGGTCTTCGGTGATACCAAGCTGCCTCTAAGTTATTCTCCTGTGATTTCCCCCTCCTCCATCACTCGTTCCCCTCACTCTGCTATCCGTGGGACCATGCTGAGGGATGGATTGAAAACACCACCCAGCAGGTTCAAGGGAGAAGTCAGCATATCAAAGGGAGAGGAGGTTCTCCCTCCCCAGTTCACAATGTTACGGTTATCCAAGTAAAGGCTGCAGTGAAATCTGAGGCGTGGAGACTATGTGCACACATCAAACCCATCATTCCTCCAATCATTTTCTTGCCCATTCATCACTAGCTCTACAGGCAGGGAGCCAGACACGATGGCACCACCACTTCTGCTTATATAGGCTCTAAATCAGTAAAGGCATATTTCCCCTTTCGACCGGTCTCAGCCTGCATTTTCGCTGGGATTTCCAGGAATATCTTTTATTGTTTAAAGCAGAGGTGTTGTATCAGACCCAATTATGACTCTCATTTCCTTAATAAGACAGATGTACAGCTGGATGAGGAACTCATGTTTTTGCTGAGTGTTTTACCCTGATAGTTCTGTACTGAGATGAGCTCAAAACTTAGGCTTAGCTGTTGTTTCTTCCATCTTGCTTAACAAGCTTTGCTTTGACCAGTGTTAATTTTTCTAGCTCCCACATTCATGTATGTTGTCCACCTTTCTTTTCATGGGGCAGGGCAGGTAAAATCCACTTTCCAGCACATGTCAGGTCTGGAAAAGCACTCTGAGAACACAAGTCGCTTGTCTTTGTAGATGTTACCTTGATGCATAGGTTAATTTGCAGTTCAGCGGCCTCTGACCTGCAGCTGGATGCTCTCCCTAGACTCTGTTTCCCATGAGATATGACCTCAGACGTAAGTTCATCAGAAGCCAAATTTCTGCTTGTTTTTTTTTTAAATGCCAAGGAACATACATATTTTTTCATGGAATCCTGGAGGTCAGAAGGTTGTTCCTAGAAGCTTGTTTTTAAGTTCATCTTCCCTTCCTTTGTACTTACAGTTTATGTTAAATTTTATATACAATTCTAACAGTACTCAGTCAATCACAACCTAATCTAAATGTTTCCAACAAGAACAATGATCAGAGCCATAGTACTGGGCACTGGCAGATGTGTGTATTTGTATACAGTATTTGTACCTGGTTGCAGTGAGGATCTACAGTTCAAACTACGGCTTTCCTCTGAGTGTTCATACTAGGATACAGCAATGACAAATTAAAACAGGCCTGGCACCAAGAACAACATATTTACTGAAGGCTTTAATAAAGGTGCTGACCTCAGCCCTGTCCAGCCATATTTAATGAAGCAGCTCCTGAAATCCATTTCCACAATATACTATCAGGATACCAGTAGTGCGAGAGCTTATTTCAAACAAAAGTCTTCAGAGTATGTTGAGTGAAAACATTGCCTTTTGTTTGTTATGCTAAAATAGACAACTTTGCAACACCGAGCAGCTAGAATCCTGTTCCAGTTCTATGAATTTTTTTCTTTCAACAAATATTCTCTCTACTATTTAATCGGTCTGCTACCATGGTGCCCAAGTGATGTTTTATTTACCCCATATACACACAGGGCAAAACCAACATCGACCCAAACAACTTCTGCCACAACCAAAAGCGAGGTTTATTGCTTTCTGTGTAACCAGCAGATAGTGTTGCCAAACAACTAAAATCTTAAAGAGGCAGATGTCTAGTGTTAGGCATTGATTCAGTACTTTTAAGTAGTTTTAATGTAGAATAAACTCAGTAAGCAGCAAGAAGAAATCATGGCAGTATTTTCCAAACTGAAATGATATTTATTGATGTATTAAGTGAGTGTGAACAAATATTTACTTCCTTTTGGAACTTCTTTCTTAGTCCAAAGAACTTTTTAAAATTAAAAAACCAACAAAGTAGTACATAACTCTTATGTTGGAAGTCAGAATTTTATGAGGTTTCACTGACTTAATGGCTTGCTAGTAAACAGTGAAATATTTACATATTACTCTCCATAGGCCTGATTCTGCAGCCCATCTGTGCAGAATTTCATCGGCATGAAGGGAACAGCTTATGTGGGTGAAGGCTTTCTATGAGCATGCATTTGTGTAAGTATCTGCTGTTTGCTTAATTAAGAGTGCATTTGCAGACTGATCTGGATCTTCAATACAGAATGCCACAATTACAGATTCTCCTGCAACCTTGAACAGACTCTTCCAAACTAAACTCAATGCTGACCACTACAAATTTTGGTTGTTGCTGCCAACGCCAAGAGTTTATCAAGGATGAATTACACTTACTTAGGAATACATTTCTATAAAATGTATTCTGCAACATCCAGCCAAAATAGTTTTACCAACTTTTAGAAAGTGATGTTCAAACAAACAAAAAGCTAAAAACTTGCCCCAGAATCTACTAAGTTAATACATGTCGATTTCTTCTCAAATAACAAATTAAAAAAAATTTGTCCGTGCATGACTTCTTATTTACATTCTATTTTCAGCCTCATTTTTCAAGTAGAAAATCCACTTTAGTGACTAATTATTGTCCTAGTGCTGGATTATCAGGTCTTTTAAATGAGAAAAGCTTAATGGACTTCAGTCAACTTGAACTAACTGATTATACACTGGAACCCCGGTCCCAGATGTGCGTGGAGTTATGAACAACAGAAATGCACGTTGCAAGGACTAGAAAGAGGATTCAATTTTATTATCGGGCTAAAAACATACACAGCAAGAGGCGTCCTTTGGCAGGACTAACCTAAGTCTTTGGGATGACCACTGATAGCCAGCAGGTCTGTGCTATGACAACACCGTGCGACTAATGCATCTGGTGCTCACTGCATGCATGCAATGGAATGATAGCAAGTATCAGCAACCACAGGTCAAGGCACCAATCCCCATATGACCTATAAGAATTCAGCAATACTGTTTAATGCAATTTATCTCTCTAATCACATGCAGTTGGGAGGGGGTGCTTTGTTTCTTCCTAAGGCACAAAGAGCAACAGCAGGAAAAAATCAGTTTAGGACTGGATTTACTTCCCCTTACCACGATTTTTCAGTGGTGGCAGCGTAGGGTGAAGGTGTTTGTTACAGTAATCTTGGCCTGTGCAACATTCAATAGATCTTCTTTGGTGTGGAATAGGAGTGTCCTGCAATAAACAATTTGATAGAAAGCAAGAAATTATCGGTATTGCAAATGTACACTGTCGTTCTGGCACTTGAGAAAATGATGTGCTTGTTAGCTGGATTGCAGTCTGCAACAGATTTCTAGGATGTGTGGAGCACAGATTTCTGCTACCGAGCATATCCAACAACATTTCATCTAGATAATTAAGAGATTAATTCACCACTAATGTATTTCTATCGGTGCCCTAGTGCTACAGAAGGGACCAATTGACTCTAATGGTGCAAGACACTACTGTGAAAGTCACATATATCCACCAGTTAGGCTTATATTACAAGAATAAGTTAATATGGGTATTCAAAACAGTTTAGCCAGAATCATATAGGAACGGCTGTGTGGACTAATTTAGCTGCTGCTTCGGCTCTTATGGGAAGCTGGGTAAAATACCTTCCATGGACCTTGATGGTTAGACTGTTCCTGTGCTCATGCAAAGTCATTTATGGTTAATATTAGGAAAGGCAAACACTTTTAGAACCTCCTTGCTCCATTGCCCATACCCTTTCCATTTCTGCAATCTCTGCACTCTCCATCAGGTGATCACTGTACTCAGAGTGAATTTCCAGAACCAGAAATCCAAAATCAAAGTGCAACTGCATGTAAGACATTAAGGTTACTGTGGTCCATCAAATAACATCCTAACTAACTTTAGCTACCACGGAGACTTCAGAAATTAGACTGCATTTTTCTAAATTCAAACTTCCTCTGAGCAGGAGTATTACTAGTAACAGCAGTGCCAAAACCAAAAACCTAAGTTGTTGTTAGGAGCAGCTATAATATCAGCATTTGGAGACATAAATGCACTCCCCTCAGCAATCAATGCAGAGGAACCATCTGCCAAATGAACAGAAGTGAAAAACATGGACATAGTAATGTCTGTTGAGTGCACATCAATTGGAAGCTATCAAAAAGCCAAGTGACACTCTGGCAGCAAATGCTTTCTTACCCGACACTGGAAGTCTGAGCCCTCTAATCCAAGACATCCCTTGGTGACTAAATGTCCACCAGACTCATCTTCTTCTATTATGGTGAAGCAGTAGCCATCAGTGCTGAGGATTGGAAAGAATGAATCAGGAAAAGGCTCTGAAGTGAAAAATGTGCTGCTGAATATAGTTTTAATTTTGTTCCTTGCAAGGCAAATCTGCCGTTAACAAATGGAGGTACTAAGGCAGGCTGGAAGACAGGCACCCAAGGCAACCTCCTGCAATGCAGTCCAACAGCCGACAGTGCTGTGGACCAGCTCTTGCACACACAAAGAAGGCTCTGCCTTGGAGTTGACACACTTACCTTTCCAATATTTCACAGCTATAAACCCCACTAGCAAACATCTCAATTCTCTGCTTATGGTCATAAGTGCGTTAGGACTTTGGAGACCTATATAAATGCAAGCATCAGCGCTACAGCAGGTCTGCCTTGTGTGTGGAACAAGGCATGGATATTTGCACCATGGTAGCGACCTGAAGAAAGAAACATTTTTGAGATACTAAACATAAAATATTATTAAGAGTGATTTGTGATTCCTGTTGTAACCATATTACAAACTGCAACACTCTTGTATACGAGTCCTTGAGTTATCATCAACACCCTTCATAAATGTTTACTTGGGTTACAAGCCTAAAGTGATCCATAATGCTTCCGTTTACAAGAATGTGCACCAGGGAAGACAAGTATACTAACAGATGGCTAGATGGTGGTGGTGATAAATGTCCTTCCTTGATGAAGGTCAAATGCCTGAAAGCTATGAAAAGAAGGGGAGGAGGGCACAAAAAGTGTGGCTGCATTTTACTGAGACTGCTGTACATTAATTTCTCAGCACTCTGAGGGAGATACATAACGTGTAAGAAACACAAATTGACTGATTTGCAGGAAGAGGATGCAAAAATAAAGAAAAAACTCTTTAATATAAGACATTTAAGTCACATAAAAATAAAATATTCTGTTATTTCTTCAGGAAAATAACACTGGTTATTATGTGCAATGAGTATTTATCAGAAGACAAGAAACAAACTCAGTTAAAACAAGGAAATAAAAAGAAAAAAGGATTAGAAAATTTAAACACAGCAAAATTTCAGATGATTTGCTCCTTACTTGAATGAAAGAAGAGTCTAACAGAGCAATAACAGCAAAGGCAATGAAGATGGAGGAAACGAGGCACAGTTACACATATAAGAGATAAACACAATTTGTAAGTATTAGCTACACAGCAGAGAGATGCTGGATAGGATCATGTCAAACATTTGCTGTGGCATATTTTTATATTAGTCGTGCAGGGTCTAGCCACAGTAAGCTTATTACTTCAAATAATAATCTATCACGTGTTATTGACTTCTGGATTTGAAATGTAACCAGTTGCATTTTACAAATTACTTTCTCGGAGAAGCAAGCAATGACTTCTACCCTTCTTCGACATTGTGCATACAAGTAAGGCAAAGGAGACAGTAACCCTTTTGGGCAACAACCACCGTGATTTCATTGCTTAAGCTTAAAAGATAGAAACAATAGGATTGCCAAGAAGAGAGACTGTAAGGAATCCATTAGAGTAGAATATTACATTAGATTTGATTTTATTTGTTTGCATGGTGCCTTTGATTCAAAGTAATGAGTAAGTTTAACCCAGGGGACAGAGCAACAAAACAATAAATTGCAATCAACTGAAACACAAAAATGAACTCCACAGCTAACAGTCCCCAGTAAAAACAAAACACTCAGTTCACCAAAGAAAAAGTCAAATTGTTTGCAAAAGGGAAAAAAAAAATAGGAAAGTCAGCAGCTTTATTTCTCTTTTGTTTTTTTGGTGTTGTTTTTTGTTGGTTTTTTTTTTCTGACTTGCCATGGGACTAGCTCTTGATTCGTAGCTCATTTCTGAAAATTAAATTCAGGCTCCTCAAGCACTTTAGTTCCTATGAAAATTTTCCCCCAAATTTAGAAAGATAAACAAAATTAGACTGGATAGAGCAAAACAGAAAAGTTACAAAGCTTCAAGAGTAAGGATAAATCATGCTCTTTACAGACAACAGTAATGAAGAAAAAGTGTGAGAGAATTAAAAATAGCAGTGATGAGCAGAATAACATTGGTACTGCTTATTTCCACCTCTAAGAAAAAAATAAAGCAAGAAGCTTTCACGCAATGTAAAAGCTCAGTATTTCATTGAAACTTCCTCGGGTATTTGGGCAAGAGGTAGAAGTGACTCTTCTGAAAAGAAAGAAGTCCTACTCTTACCTGCTTGCCCCCTCCCACCCCTGACCTCTTCTCCTGGTTCACAGGATGTCAGATGGACCACACACTTCAAGGAAAGGGCAGGGCATACCCCTGCTGTTTTATTGATTACGCTATCTCACACCTGCCTATGGTAGAAATGAAACTGTACTTAATATTACAGTAAATCAGAAATAAGTCAGATAAATCTACATTGTCTCCAATGTGATGACTGCACAAATAGAAACATATGTGTATCACTGATGCAGGCAAAGCAATACAAAAACCCTGTTCTTCGCTTCCTAGCAAAAATTTGCAGTATAGAATTATTATTTTCTTAAGCTCTGTAATTTAAATTCTGCATAATTTGATTCTGTGAATGGTGTGTAAAGAAGGAACTCAACCTGATGTTACTTAATACATCCAGGTACACATCCACTAACCTCCTCCACTAAAGCATCACCTTATTAGAGTATGGTGCAGGAGAACAATAAAATAAATTTTGAATGTGATCACTAATAAGCACAGATTTGGTATGCCACATATTTGCCAAGAGAGAATTTTTACAGCCAAGTCAAATGCCAGGAAAATAGAGGGAGTTAATAACGGAAACACTGACAGACACTGGTGTAGAAGGTGCTGCTATAATTACAGATTACCAGAAAGATGTGATCTTAACTGAGACCTTTACTAAATGTCAGAAGAGAGGAACAGAGGCCAACCACTTTGCAGCTGCTCACACAGATGTCCTCACTGGCCAACAGCCATTTCTCACAGAAGATGCAATACTTCAGTTACCAAAACTTGACTGCTGAAGGTTTCCAGTCCTGCTCTGTGTGTGTGTGTGATGCAGCCAGGGGTAGCAACGTCTTTCCCTCGTTCAGTGTCTATCACAAACAGATGGGTTAAATAACTCGATGAAAAGATTCCTTATCTTTAATTTTATTTGCAACTGAGTCCATATGAGTATTATTATTTTTGTCCACTCCTCCTCTTTATGTTCCTGCTTTTGATATCAGAAAGAGCCACAGCATCTTTCCATTTCCATCAAAAGCAACATGACAAGTTTCTGCACTGTTTTTAAAAATGATCGTAGATTATATTAGATTATATTATGTACAGAAACTGGAAGTTCATATTCTTCTGTAAAGACTGACTGAAATAATCTAACTTGAAAATTGGCTGACTCCCAACCTGCACCTAGTTCACATATTTTGTTGCATCCTTCATTTAAGGAAGATGATGGAGGCCAAATTTAGCAAAACACTGTCTTTGACACCATCCATAAAACAAAGAGTCACTGTAAATGTGTTCAACACAGGCTAATTTTTCAGAAGAAACAATATAGTTAGCAGCTGTGTATAAGGGAAATAAATCAACACCAAGTGAGAAGAGCATTACACAGTTGTTGAGCCAGATAACACCTTCAGATATTTGCACAACTAATCTGAAGGCAAGGAGAATCATACAGGTGAAACAAAGCAAAAAAGTTGGCCCACAGTGGGCCACAGTAGCTGCCTGCGCTAGTCTCCAAGACAGTGATGCTGGTCTTACCACACACGCTCTGCTGTGTATGGTACCTTTTGACTCTGGGTGCTCAGTGATGACCCTACACACAGAGAGAAAGGAGGGTACTCAACACATCCTAGCAGAGCATCTTTCTATATATCATATATAGGTCTACAATCAATATTTTCTCCATATTATTTGCCCATATTATTCTCCTGGGACTGAGACATGACCTGTCTCACCAAATGTGTCTTGCACTATTCTACTAAATCACAAATCAGATCAAACAGTTCTCCCTGACACATGGGGTCTCAACACAGAAAATAAGCCATTATGCCAATCTGTGAGGGAGACGCCTAGAAACTGTCCAGGCTTCATGCTAAGTACATGAGATTTGACAGGACTACAGACCTGAGAGTACAACTTGAGATATGGCAATAACACCAAGCACGGGTGTCTCTGCATTTACATCAGGGCTCTCTAGCACCTTTTACTTATGTACAAAATCCATCACAGTAGATGTAAGAACTATCAAGAAGCAGACGGTCAAAATAAAGCTACTCATCCTCCTCTTTTCATTTTCCCTTTTCTTTTACTCCTTTATTTCATCTCCAAAATTTAAACACAAAACAAATGTTGTTCTTTTTTTTTTTCTTTTTTTACCTTGACCTCAAGATTACACCACAGTTGAATTGTATGATGTAGCTCCTTCTTCAATGCTAAGACAGACTTAACATAGATATTGGTTGTTCTGAATTTTTTAAATTCAATATGCAAGGGAAGTCTTAGGTACTCCAGCACTTCTGTACAATGACACCAAAGTACTCCCACACGCTAAAAACCTATCTGAGAGTCATGCAACAGGTCTCAACACAGGGAGACTAGACTTGCATTACTATTTAGCTTGAGGTTTATATTAAATACCTAATGGGCAAGCCCTGAACAAAGCTAAGAACAAGAAATTTCCGAGGCACAGTTGAAAAGCATGGCAAGGGGACTTTGCACTTCCAAACACTTGGGGCAAAGTAACCTACTGAGCTGTGTATGAGACATATGGCCGTGGCAGAGGGGGCAAGTAAAGACTGGAGTTTGCAAGAATTTGTCACTGTTGACCTTTGTTTTTTTGTTTTAATCTTCAAAGGGGACTTAACTGCCTCCAGTACAACCCTGTATAAATAATTACATTAAAAAATAATAATAGACATAAAAAATTTGAAAGGCTAACTTGTAAGATCTCAACATAGCCTCTTTATGAGAAAATGTTCAACTTTACCCTAAAAAATAAAGTTGCTTAGAAGAAAAGTTGCCTGAACTCAGTGCTCTGGTCCACTGCTGAAGTCTTCTTCCTTCTACATATCAAATTACAAAGAAAATTCAATACTATCATCTGGAGAACAAGAAAACAAAAATAACATCACTCAAGTGAATTATCACCTCTGGTAACACTGAAAAAAACCCTTAATTTTTTAATTGCTTTAGATAACCAAAGCTACCTCAAGGCAGTTGAGCAGAAACACAATCCTGACCAGTAGGCAACAGATAAGAAATTGAACTCTATCAGCTCAATCTTTAAAACTGCCAGCATTTATTTATGAATGGAAAATAAAGTACAACAAGGTACCTAAGCAGCCCCTGCCTTTACTGCAATCCTATTACTGTCAAAGCCAATTAAATCTAATACTACTTTTTAAAATATGCAATTAATTATGATTAGACAAAACTGCCAGTTCGTTCACTTTGTACACACAAAACTTAGAACAGTAGAACAGGGCCCTGGTTGTGTTCAAAACAGCTTTGAGCTTCTTTGCTGAAAGCCTTTTATAAATTCCACAGATGTTCAGAAAGAAGAATAAAGTTTCAACATACTGAAGGTTAAGACACGCTTCACAAGCAGAGGATTACATATCTTCTGCAAAAATCTTGTCAGGGCCCTGAGCACACTAATGAACTGCAATTGCCTTGAGTGGCCTCACCTGGGATCCCCCACCCATACACACCCCTTGACCAGGGGCACCATTTAAACTCAGGTCTGAGAATCTAACCCCTCGTAAAATGATAGTACAGGAGTGTCTGTCTCCAGCTCCATCTCCTGCCTAGATCCAGACCACTACCAGCCATGTGAAGGGCCATCAAGGGAGCTATGTCTGTTGTGTTCAGGTACCCTTAGGGGAATGGGGTTCTGGTGGGTGAGGATATGACTAGCCCTCAGCTCCTGGCTTGGTCCCCTTTCACTGCTTCCTGACACAAACCCTCTCTGGATGAGGTGACCCTGTAATGGGTCTTCCAAAACTTGTGCTTGTGGATTGTCCCATTTCTTAAAGTACACTCTAACTAGAGCTACTGCTTTTCTGTCGATACAGAAAGCAATCTGCATTTTAAGCTGCAGTGTTATCCTGAGCTCCCCCGAGTATTATTGGACTTAAGCTGTGGAAGTATAAAGAAAGGGAAATTCTGTATAGAAACACAACAGGCTGTTAGAGGATTTGATATAGATGTGGTTAAAGAATATTGACTTTTAAAATTCTAAAAATACAATCACAGAGAGGATTTTAAATGGCCACCAGATGTCCTCATTTTTATATAAACACAGACTACTGGTACCTACAGGCAGGATCTACACTTTACTAGATAAATATCTGTGGTAGCAGACCAAAATCTTCAGGTGGGATGGCAGACTTCTTTCTGAGATAGTTTTAATCGCGATTGCAATAGGACCAGCTATTTTATTCTAAGAGGTTTAATTTAGCCACAGCTGGAAATGCTTTCCCATTGAACTTTTAGAGCCCTCCTTGCTCCTGAGTCCACAAAGGCACACCCTGCTTTGGTGAGAGCCCTGGTAGGGACAGTGATGCTCTCCAGAGCCCAAGCCCTGCCTATGGATATGTCTTGTGAATCTCTTGGATGTCAAGGCTTTGCCAGGCCCTTGGTGCCCCAGCACATTCTGGCTCATTGTGGCAGGTGCACCTGCCCAAGGAGAGCAGAGCTTCTTGGCTGCTCGGGGCTGCCTTTGCTCTCAGGGCCTCGCAGTAGTTGGGGCCTTTGGCAAATGGGAGCCGCCATTGACCACAGGTCAGATTGGGCCTGGGGATCAGTGGAGTCCCCTGGAGCCATTCTGAGCTCGTCCCCTGGAGCAGCAGCTGCGGTCGAGGACTCTCCCCTGGGGTCAGGACGCTGCCCAAGGAAACTCCCTGAGGTGCCTTGGGTCGGGACGCTGCCCTGAGCAGGTCCTCGAGGTTGAGAGCCCTCACTTGTCAGGTGAGTGATAGAGCGTTTTGGGCTGCCGTTAAACCCTAGGTAGCAGGGCTTTGTAAAGCCTTTCGGGTTGCCAATCCCAGGGAGTGGGGCTTTGTTCTGCATTCTGGGTTGCCATTAAACCCTAGAAAGCTGTTCTGTTCTCTTCTCACGGACATTCGAACCTGTAATTTAAGGAGAGCTAGTTAACTGTGTAATCATTTTTTTTGGTGGTGGTTGGTTGTTTATTTGAGAGCATCCGTAACACTCATCCCTTGCAGGGCTTGCAGATCCAAGCTCTGCAGGCTCAAGCACAGCTCAAAGCTTAACAGACTGATAGAGCTGACAAAAGGTTAATTTTTTTTTTTAAATATAAAACGTAGAAGACTTTTTAGTGGCTATATCTGAGGGAAGTAGATAATGATCAGTTAGGTTTAAGTTAATTTAATTCTTTGTTTTGTATTACTCCGAACTCTTCAGTAATTTTTCACTTATGCTGTGCTCAATGAGCAAATGGCAAGGTAGATACTGCTCAGGTGACAGCTCTGGATAGGACAGAGGAGTAGCTCTAATGCAAGTCTTTTGACTGTTTCCATTTTCCCAGACAGAAAAGTGATTAATTATTTGATGGGTAAATTCCAGTTTCAATTATTATTTTGATGTCTAAGTTAGGGGAAAAAAAAAAATCACTCAGGTAAAACACTCAAGCCCAAATGTGCAAAGTATGAAGACAAAAGAGGTTAAAACTTTGTGTTTTATTACCACCTAACTGCCTATCCTTGGGCATTAACACCTAAAACCAGGTTTGGTATTTGACACTGTAAGGGGGACTCTGAACAGAGTTTCCTTAAAGTACTGCAGTGAGGGGAAAATGCACAATAGGACATTTATTATGAGTTTCTGGTAACATGAAAAATACTTAATGTCAATGATGCCAATGAAGCAATGGGCAACAGCAGGCTGACCCAGCTGGGATATAAACCTTATTCAGTGGATTCCTTAACATGGACCCCTTTTGGTGTCCTAATTCATGGATTTAAAAGTCATCTGCAACTTCCCTGTTACTGCGTGTGAGACAGCACATGTGAAAGCAGTGACTCTTGCTGGGCAGAACAGGAAACAGCTGATTCACACTGCAGGGGATCTGCAAATTGATATCAGAGTGGGTTTTTACAGCTTTTTAAACTGACTGCCACGTGAAAGTAGTTACGTCTAACTCCTGGCTAGAGCATGGATTTGAAGGAAGAGGATAGAAAGGGGAAATGGTATTTACAACTGTCATCAAAACTTTGATACACTTCACTGTGAAGCTGCAGGCTGAGCAGAATTAAGGCTACAAAACAAGACTCAAAAATCCGACAGAGCAATCAGTATCTTCAGCAACCTTAGCCAACCTTAGCCTTTCCCCATCTATCTTCTTAATGTGTTGCCTTGAAGAGCTGACGCAATGTTAGACTGCCTCATCTCAAACAGCACTGCATATCCAACTGGCATGTCCAGCTGGACTCATGTCTATGCCCTGCTTTGATGCTTTTCACAACTCTGCTAGGCTATAGCTGATGGTGTATCCAGTATCTTACCCACTCTAATTAAGCACAAAACTTTAAATTCCACGTGTGGAACGTGAAGAACTGAGCCCTATTTTGCTGCAGCTAAAGCAAACTGTGCATTCCCCCAAAGCTAAGACAGAGGTGTTGGACCACTATTCTCATTTAAAAGCAATAATCTGTGTCCAGCCAGAGCTGCTTTTGGGTGGGGGAACAGCAGCTTGGTCTCACCAGGGGCACCCTCAGTTACCTCTGCTGCTTCAGGCAGTATCAGTGCAACACTGACCAAGGCTGAACCTTTAAGGGGACCATGCACAGCTGGACATGCCTCTCCCCAAGGGAGGCAGAAGGATCTGAGGAAGCAGAATCCAACTCAAATTAGAAGGTTGTCGTACTCTAAACACAAAACCAAACAGAAGACTATAGACAGTATAAGAAAATACTCAACACTTCACCTCAAGAAAAAGATAACTTCCTTTTTAGCATGGAAGCAAGGAAACAACCAAAGCCTCGAGGAGCTACATAAGATATCTCAGCTATTGCAAAGACACATACCAAGAGCAGGATTCTATAAGTGGTGTTCCATAGAGAGTGATTATAAATTTATAAACATTTACTGACATTTTAATATATCTCCATTAAGTCTCCTCTCATTAACTGCATGCACCTTTAAAAGCAAACTCCTACCTTCAGAATATTTCATATGCAATGAATTAGTACAGGTATTATAGTAAAGATTTAAACACACTAACATAAAAATATAAATATGTAGCTGATACCTAGGTAAATTACCTCTGATTTTTAATCACAATATATAAACAACTCACATATTACTACTTAAACAAACTAACACCCAACTTGGGACTGCTGGGCTACTACAAATAGGTTTTCCCGTGTTCCACCACCAAATATATATCACACAAACCTGCAGGTACTGTTGACTGAGTCCTCAGGACAGTGGTGGTGGCACTGACAGGACAGCTTCTTCTGCGGAGGAGCAGGTGCTGTGCTCTCACCATCTTCTTTTCTGGTCTCCATGCTCAACTTGCCAGAACTTCGCAAGGGCATGTTGTCTAGAAAATTGGCTATAAATATAAGGGGGAGGGGAAAAAGAAACAGTTCTAGGCTGTATTGCAAGATTTGGAATGAAGGCTTTAAAGTATTTCTATTCATCAAAACTTGAGAAAGTTATTTGAAGAGGGTATTCACTACAGAGCTGTTTTCTGTAGAAGCCTCTGAAATGGTCACCATGTTTAAGGCTTATTGGGCCTCAGTGGCATTAAATCAAAGGTGCTGATGTTCAAGTTCTGCTGCTGCCAAAGAGATGTTATGCTTTTCAGACTGCAGAGTTCAGCTTTTCCCCTATTGCATTATACAGGCCAAATCCTTGGTTACACCTTCACGTTTTCTTTGTCTCTATACTTGGCACATACCTACACCCACTGAACCACATAAAAATGAATGGGATTTATGGTACACTCCAGGCAGAGCAGAACATGGGCATACAATTTAATAAAGATTTAACAGAAAGTGTTCTTTCAAGTTCAACAGCACTTTCTGTCACTGAATTGCATAAGCACTACTTGGAAAACAAGTTCCTTTCTATAAAAAAAAAAAAAAATGAATCTATAAACAAAGTAAAAGGCAAGAATGTGTTTTAGCATGAACAATCCTGAAATATATGGAAGAGATTACTTCCAAAAATACCAGAGTACTGAATCTCCATGGAGCTGGTGGAGTATAGCTAGAGATGTTGGTGATGGGCTAGGAGCTATTTAAGCGACATTCCCCCTCAGCTCTACTCACAAACAGCAGCTTTCAGTGCTTGTGAATATTTTAAGCTTCAAAGACAAAAATGAGATCAGCATGAAAAGCTTAAACTGGCAATTTCTCACTTTCCTTTTGCTTCAGTGTAAGTAATCTTACTAAAGGGTCGTTTACAAACAGCTGTCTCCAACAGAGTAGTTGAAGAGCAGGCCTGAAATTCCTGGTTTACTGTTAAATCTTTAGAAACAATTGGCATTATTATTATTATTTTGATTGGCTTCTGAACTGCTGCTTTGATTCTAATTAAAATCTTCCCCAAACCACCATTATCATGAACGATATATCGTGGAAGTGTATCCTACAGAGATGGAGTGGATAAACAGGTACAGCTGATAGGAACAAGTAGTTACACTTCAGGGCTTGGATGGGAAACAACAACGGACACAAGAACAAGGTCCTGAAAGCAGTGAAACGCTGGAGGAAGAGCAAGGCTGTTCAACCAGCCAGTGCCCTTAGATAGGACTAACAAAGTCCGGCCTGTGCTCCTGGTTCCTTGGGAGCAGCCAGTGCCCTTGAGCACAAGCGTGCGTGTCATGCCTCCCAGCTGCACACCCCTCCTTTCCTCTGCCAGATCTGGCAGGGAAGCCCTGCAAGTGGACAGGCACTGGCAACAACTGGCAGACAGGCTTTAGTTTTCTTCAGTGTAACAAGAGATGTGCAAGCTTGTCCCTAGCAAACCAGGAAAAAGCTGAAATGTGTTAGCTGTAGGAAAAGTGAGGCTTTGTACATAATAGCTCACTTAAAGAAGTGCTAGCTTTTTGAACATTATAGCCCTTCCACTCCTTTCATATTCCTTGCATAAGAGGTATATTAGTAATAGTAAGGTGATGCATATAAAGACAATCATTCACCGTATCAGACTAGAACACCTATGAAATACGAAACACATATGTCTTGATCTTTGCTCAGTACCTATGTAGTCCACTGAAACCGACTGGATTTTTGATTAGCTCACCTCTTAACGTCAAACCAGAAAGCTAGTTACAGGACACATACAAACTATGGGCTTGTCAACCTTGTGTTCAGCATCAAGATACTATCTGGATTTCTGACACAACTGGATGTTGAAGTCCCATAGTGTTTATTCTAGTATTTGGCAAAATTAGAACTAAATTAATTAGTTCACTCAAGATGCATTGTGTATCTGTGTACTCACAGCTGTACCTTAAGACTCAATAGGTGCTTAAATTAAGAAAAAAATGCAGTTAGTTTCTCTTAATGTAATTATGATACTTCGAAATGCAGCCTTCTGTACAACAAATTAGTATCAACAGATGTTTGTTCCATGGGTCACAGGATTAGAGATTACATAAATTCTCTTTCAATCAGCAATTTTTGTCTGTATTACTTAATTAAATATTCCCCATTCAGTGGTAACAATATTTCTGTCAAGGATTTTCATACCTCTGCTTATGACACAACAGAGTGAACTTCTAATTCATGGCACAACAAAGTGAACTTCCATCCCTTGAGGCAACTGAGTGCAACAGTTTGTTCTGTATATAGTTTCCATGGATCTTTCTACAAACTATCTACAGTTTCAGCAGGGATCTTTCCTCAGCTGGGAGTGCAAAACCAAAAGCATTTTACACCTAGCACAAAAAAATAAAAGGTTTAATTACACACTTAAAAGTGCCTGAAGATGTTAAATTTAGACAACTCTGTACCTTCCTCATAATACACACAACCGTAGGTCATTCCTTTTTTCAACAAAAGTGTAAGGCAGTCACACTCTGGTGCAATTTGTGCCCATCACTCACTGAGGATGTGATCATGAACTGCTTCTGCAGAACTTGCCATAAACAACAGCAGCTTACATCCCGAAGATGGCTGTGGTCTTAGTTAAAATAAGACAGGTGGGAGATGCTGAATTAGAATCAGAAATCTGAAGTACCATCAAAGCATCAAAAATTACTATTCAGCAATGTAGTTCGGCTTTTAGAAAACTTAGGACAAATAGGCTGGCATTCAAACTTACACTTTCCAATAGTTTTTAAGTAGGGATGTAGCCTAGGATTTTGTTTTCAGCTAATGCCCAGGGTCAAAACTAGTGTAAAATCATTCCAGTTTAGTGTTGAATACATTAAATCAAATAAAACTAAAAGAGGTAGCAACAAGATAATTTCAATTAGGTCCATTACTATCTTCTAAAAAGAAAAACTCTGTTTTCTTGTTCCTTTCATGCCTTAAATTCCTGGCTGCTAGCTAACAAATGGGCAGATCTTTTGCCTTCGAAATTCAGATGCCTCACCCAGCAGATGACTGTGGAACATACAAGAACCCTTCTTCTCTCACTTGGAGTTGAGTTTCAACAAGTTCTTTTATCTTCTATGTCTGCTTGACTTCAGATCAGAAAGATTTCCAGCTGTGCCTTCCCCAGAATGTAACATGAAGGTACAAACCCACAGGAGCTTCCAGTTTGGCAAAAAGTTCCTCCTGATTGCAGCTGTGAAATGCAGTTTGAAATGGTGAACAGCCTACTCATCTGGCATTTACTGCTGTGCTGTAACAAGCACATGTTGGTCATGCAGCCCTGGCTCTGTCTAGGCATTAGAAGCCCTTAGGGATTTGAAAGCGCTCCTAAGGAGCTATGTCCAAGTGCCCTGAAAGCAAGGGATTTCAGGCTGTTTAAATTTGGCTGCTTCTCTGCTGTGGTCTATTCTGTTGCAGTCTGCTTATGGCCAGGTTCCCATCCCTGATGAACCGAGCACAGCTTGGGAGAACTGCAGAAAAAGTGGAATCACAAATAAGGTTACTGTAGTCTGCCGAGAAACTTACTGACTGCATCAGGGAATTAACCAAAAAGAGTTGGGAGCCATCAGACTGGTATACCTTCATCAAAATTCATTTTCTCAGTTTATCCCTTCTTCCATTAAAATTCACCAGCATGTACAAAGCACCTTCCACCAGGACAGGCAACCAGCAGGGCTTTTATATCTCTTCAGAGTACTGCCCCTGAGAAATATATTCCTTTATAGGACTCGGACCATTCCAAATTGTGATGTGATGTGATGTGATGTGATGGTCTCTCTTATGAATCTCTACGTGAGAATGGGGACTGTGTGCTCAGCAGCAGCATATTACTGATGTTTCTAGATGTGTTTGTGTGTGTCTCCATGCTTGGTTTCACCTAAGCTCCTTTACAGACAGACACATCTACAAAGATCCTGAAGCCAGGAAAAGGCAAATGAGGAAAATAAAGTGCTGTAAAATGAAAGCATTACCCTGGATGACCATGAGAATGACTAATGTCTAGTCTAAACCCCTACTAACCTCCATGCCAACAAATAATCCTTCTTAGACATATTCTTCCATTTTGCTTCCCAACCCTCCTAGACTTCGTGATAATCCATGAGCACTAACCTTTCACATCTAAATACTTTCTCATGTGACATACCACTCTGTGGTTTTTCAGTTTGTTTTGCTATAATATTTTTTAAATGATAGAGAAGTGATCACAGATCCCCACCCCATAATCACACTGAAGTAACAATCAGGATTAATTATATCTTGATTTTAAATAATGATGGTTAACACTGGTTTGACAGGTCTGTAGACAGTGGTACCTTGCACACAGAAGAAAAATCACCTATTTAAGCTTTTCATTGACTCATGTAGGTGCAAAAAAATTTGATCAGGATAGCCCATCTCTTGGTGTACGTTCAGTCCGCAAGTTCTCTGCCATGGCTGCCAATAAGTACTCCAGCCCCTGCCAACTGTAGCCATAGTTATGCTATTTGGACAGGAATTTCTCCACTAAAATCTGGATAAAGCCCAACAACTCATTTCACACCGGCCCACAGCCATCAGATGGTAATGACTTTTGGGCCCTGCTCTGATTCAAAAAGTCCAGTAATGTAGGAGGTGAAAAGCTCTGTATTCTGTAGTCCAAATCTTAAACCATTCTGTTCCCAGAGGATGAATAATTAGCAATAGTTATCTTAACAGATTGATTTCTGTGGCACAGCTGTGTGATTTGTGTGCTGTCTATGCACTGAAAAAGCAGCTCTTCCATGACTTTGCATGGGTTTGTCAGGAGTAAAAGGCAGACTTGCTCTTCCCAAAAGAGAATCTAAGGGCCGCAAGCAAGTCTGTCCATAAAAAAAAGAAAAACCAAAACTATCAGAATGCTGTGCTCACTCCTCTTTCTACACAGGGTAATTGCAGCCTCAGGTTAATGCAGTACCATCCACTTCCATTTTCCCAGGCCAATAACAGCAATGTTTGGCTAGCCACAGCACTCACTGACAGGGAGCAA